ATGCAATAGCTTGTTGTTTTTGACGCAGAAAATGTCAAGTATTGATTTCAGTTCAACCTTAATTTTTTTAATTTTTCAGTCTTTGAGTTAGAGAATATAAGTTCTATACCTGACTGAAAGTGCTGTCAGCAGATTGATCGTGTTTCTTGGGATGAAAAGGCTGACATGTCTGGTTTGCCAAAAATTTAAAAAACCCTTCTTTTGAATGTTGATTTGCAAGTATCAAGGTAATAGTAATAGTTAATGAAAATACAATGCCAAACCAATATTACAGGACTTGTTTCCCCCCCTCCCCCTTAGAAAGGAGGTCGCTGGGATAGTATGGGGAGTGTTTTATTTAGTGTAAACAGTGGAATAATGCTTTGAAGTTGCTTTTGTCAACACCAGTCCTGAGAAAAACACAACTGAACCAGCATCACCAGGATAAACAGGCTTAATTTGTATCTTTCCAAACTGCTTGGCACATCTATTAACTCCTACAAAATTGTTCTTTTATAAAGCCGTGCTCTTCTGCAGAAGTGTGCTGATGCTCTTCTTCTGACTCCTAGCCCTTAACATCATCTGCTTTTTAATTTGAGCACAAATGCTGTCTTGTGTTTTAATTCTTTCTGGAAGATAAACCTAGACACCAGAGTCAGTATTTTCAGTGCTGTCTGTTCACCCCCATCCCTCCCTCTCCAATATGTGCCATGGTCACTTTTAAAATATTTTCTAAATTTTTTGCTAGTACTAGTTGAAATTAACAACAGATACTACTCACAAATCTTCACTTATATGTAAGAGCAGACTGGAATGTGCATGTCCTGGTGTTGAGGTGCTAGTTCTATCAGTCTACAGCTAAAGTTCTGAGCAGGTTAGAAAAAAAGCGGGTGTGGTGGTGTGTGTTTATTATGCATAAAAGACTCACAAATTTAGGGTATTCTTAGGATATGTGCTAGAAAGCTGTAGAGTTTTCTGTTAAATTTATGAAGGAAGTTGAACACACGTATCTGTACCAATAGCCTCTGTGGAGAACTTCTTACTTTAAATAGCTTTTAAGCTAGCCTGTTCTATTAGTGGTACATCAGAGAGCCAATGCACTGCTGGATGTTGTGAGGGGTTTAAAAATTCGCGGTATGGGTAGACCTTAGATTCTGGACAAGACCTAAATTAATGCAAGTTCTATAATTGTTTTCTGGAAGCCCAATTTAAGAAAGACCTTGTCTGCTATAAGTATCTGTGCTACAAAGGAGTTAACTTGAAGCTGGTGCTAAGTGAAGATGTTCTGGGTAGTCTATGTTAGACTTCTAGTCAAAGAATGTAGGTGTGCCTAATGCAAGGCCATGGTACAGCTTTTATCAAATGGGTATATCCATTATGTAAGCTGCAAGTATTCTTCAGAACTTACACCCATTGGTGTTATTCAGCCTGTAGTTCTTACGCTGGTTATCAGGCAGGGTTATAGTATGTATGAGTATATGGATATTAAAATTGACACTAATAAATGTTTTTGATGGTCAAGCAGATATTTCCAGAAAGCTCTCAGTGCGGCATACCATGAGCATATTCAGTAACATGGATACTTCTTTGTGAGTTTTCAACTGTTGTTTTAAAGTGAAGTGCAAAATTCAAAAGAATGTAAGCAGATCTAGTGCAAGACTTGATACTCTGGCTGGGGGAGGGGGCAGGGGGAGGAAGAGAGGTTTTTTTTAAACCAGTACATTAAGGATCCATTTCCTGTTTTGAGGTGTAGTAACTGTAACATGATGATCCATCCTGCTACTGTGGAAAGGAGTTCCTCCTTACAATTATTGACTAGCTGGAGGTGAGAGAGAGATGAAAAGTTGGGTTGGTAACCTTAACTGTCTTCTCTAGAGGTGAAATGGCCACAAAAATCAGTTTCTCTTCTGGTTACATTCTTACTCTGCCTGTTGGGGGTTTTTGAAGGATGAAAATTGTCAATAGAAAGCAGGAAGTTACACAACTGAACTGTCTCAACTGAAACTGATTTTCCAGTAAATGTGCATTTGTCTATCAATACCATTTACTGCCATTTGAATAACATATCTAATCTCCTATGAGTGTGACTACAAGCCTTCCTAAAATGTTACACTCCATATGGTTGCTCACCTGTAAATAGCCTAGTGCTTGCCTGTTAGTCCAGAAGTAGACATGGGGAAACTGAGGCTATGGGATGCCAGTAAGTAAAAGGATTTAGTAGTGTGCGTATTGTCTTTGTGTACGTTCTTTAAGCTTTTTAGAGATGTGTTTATGGTTCTTGATGGTCACCAGTGGGAAGAGGGCGAAAGCAAATGCTTGAGACCCATCCTGTGCAAGCGGGGGCTTGCAGAGCCACATCCTTGCCTTGCCTGCCACCAGGAGGCAGCATGAGCTGGGCGGGCTGCAGAGGTCAGGTGTTTGGCCAGAAATTCAGTTGTTCCACATCTTGGAAGAAGAGCTGTGTGTCAGAGTCACAGTTGCTTGTAATGCACTATTAAGTTTCTATAAGGTAGTAAAGGACTACTTTCAATGTCAGAGTCTATGCCAAGCTTAGATGGTCAGATTTGCCACCAGAGCTATGGGACTCCTTACTTTAAGTATCTTAAAATTAGCAGAATAGCTCTTTATCCACATTCACACCTTCTAGCATGTGTGTGCTGGAACAGTGCGTTGTGTGGAGCTGTCTTTACCCACAAAAATTTCCTAGCATCCTAGGCAAAGATACAAATCTGCTTTCAAGTGGAATGATGGGAAGGTATAGTTGAACAATCTGTTTCCTAAAACAGCAAGTCCAGCTTAATTTCTTTTTTTTTTCCTGCCTTAGCTTATGTGGACAGTCAGATGCAACAGCCAAGTTGCAGTAGGAAAGACCAATACTTACATAAGTGGACATCTGGAAGCACTTGAGCGCTCTTTTGTACTTCTAATACAAATCAATGGAATGCAGGAAAATTGAGGGGTATGTTAGAAGATCAGTTGTTAAAAGCAGGAGAGTTGGATAACAGAGCTTTGGATCGTGCACTCATTTGTGTAATTCTGCCTAGGTTAACACTTGCAAAATAAGGATACTTGTGGTGACCAGAAGATAACATTGGGGCAGTACTGTATAGTACTTATTTTTCTGATACTATTCACTTTACATTTATTTATTCAGGTATCAGTTTAGGAGAGGGGTGGCAGGTAGTGGTTTTGGAATACAGTAGGATCCTATCCTGCTTCCCTAAATGCTGAGATTAGGGAGCAGGGGAAAGCAGGCAGTTGGAGGGTGAGGCTACTGAAATGCTCCACTAACATTTGTTTTCAAAAAAATGTCTGCAGTTGAGTTGTGCTATGTTTTCATATCTCAGAGGTAGAGGCCTTTAATTTCTCAGCTCATCTCCATCAATTGTTTTTGTCCAAAGACAGTTCAAGCTCAAGTATGCCTCAGTCCAGCTTCCTTTTTCCCCTCCTTCCTTAAGTGTCATCTATTTACCACTAAACCTTTATCTCTTTTGATGATAGACACATACTGGGGAAGATGATTTTCTGAAGCTGAAAGTACAGAAGAAAGATATTTTTCAAAGACATAGTTTGTGGTTGATATTCTAATGTAACTAAGCAATAAAGTGCAGTTAAGTGCATTTCTGAATAGACTGGTCCCTTGCTGTAGTCATGAAGGATCTCAGACAAAGAGCCCTTCTGCTTAGGGTGCTGCACTGATCTTTCTTCTTGTTGTTGTAAAGTAGGAAGATTTCAGTGTTATGATCAACCCTCCTTGGTGTGGAGGCAAGGGGTGTACAAAGCACTTAGGAGCTATCTCAAAGTAAAAATGTACATCTCTTGATGCAACAGTAAAATAGTCCTGAGCACCCTATGAAAAGATGCTTACCTGATCCTCCTCCTAGGATGGTACTCTTAATTTCTTGTCTGAAGGTCCCCAGGTCAATGTGAATTCATAGATTGTTAGCCTGTGAATTCTGAGCGCGTTAAGACTTGACTCTGCTGTGTTTAACGAGCTTCAGTTTTTGGTGTGGCTTGCCTCTAAGCATGAAGTTGTATACATGAGAGTTTTAGGATAGTGATGCAATAACTCTTTCTGTTCTTGGAAGTTTTTTCCTTGGTTTTAAATGTATGTGAGAATGTCGGTTAACTTGGAGAAGCTGTAAACAAGAGTAACCCTTCAGCTTTGGTAGTTAAACAGGTAAACATGTATGCATAAGGTAACTTTTTCCTAAATAAGTTTAGTATTTGACTATCGACATCTATCCTACATATTCAGTCATAAAACCAAGAAAAAATGCCTGAAGCCTTGCTTTAGTGAAGGAAAGCCTTCATGTTCTTTCCAAATAACTTTAAAACTTTCTTTAAATCATTCCTCTTCTTTCCTCAGGGGAAAGTATCCTACCAACTGTGCTTCCTTTAATGATTATGTTTCTGCCGTGTCTTTTGTAGGTCAATTTTTTCATACTTCCCCTTTCATGAGAAAGAAGTCAGCATTTATCAGGAATTTAGAGTGGATTTTTTGTGTGTTTCTTTAGATAACGTTTTTCTATAAAACAGCAAACAGATCTGTTACGTAAACTGATCTTTCATGTGGTTCCTAAAGGATGGCTCTGGTTTTATTCCTTGTTTTTTGGTCTTCAGTTGCTTAAGTCTTAAATATCCTACCTGTTTCCCAGCGTTCAGAACCCCTCACTTTATTAATGCCTTTTTGGGCTACTTCTGAAAGGGATTTCTGTGGCTAAGCAAAGCTGAGAATTAAATGCAGTGGGAGAAGAATAATTCAGTCCTTGGTGGGTGGGTGTGTGTGGGGACGTTTGTTTTGCTGTTGGCATGCTTTGCCCTATAATGTTTAATGTTGTTACATTTCATGCTTTTGAGAAGATGCCTTCAAGGGCTTTCACATGACAGCAGAGAAGTGAAATTTTTAGCTTCTTTAGTGGCTTTCTTGTAGCAGCAATATCTTCTTATTCCAAATCACTGTGCTTGGTTTACAAGAGTTGTTTTTTATTACTAACTGGTGTCTTGTTTCTTTTCAGAGATCATTCACATTAATAATAGAAGCATGGGATTGGGATAATGATACTAAAGCTGGTGAGTATTTATGTAAAATTTAGTTTGCACTTACTCTGTGTTGTATGTACATAGATTAGGGAGGGGGGAAATGGTGTGCTGCTGCAATTAGCCCTCCCTCCAAATCAGTCTGAAGGCAAGCCTACTTTGTAAGTTAAGGGCAGGTACAAATCCAAGCAGAGAATATACAGTTAGGAACTGTGAAAAATTCTTACCGATAGGAAGAATGGACAATAGTAAGTGAAGGTTATAATACGTTACTTGTAATAATTAGCTTAACTATTTAAAAATAATGGTTGGCCCTTTATTTTTTTAAAGGAAAATTGTTCTGTAGAATTGCACTTCAGATTCTCCTCAGTTTACCCATAACCATGTTGTGCAATACTTTTAATGAACAGGTAAACAAATAAGTGTTCTTGTTCCCCATAAAGAAACTGTGCTCAATGTTTATGATGAAAGTGTTCTAAATCGTGGTATGATTCCTTCTCTGTTTGTTTGTCCTCAAGTACTGAAAGTTACCTTGCATTTCTGGTCTGTAAATGCTCAGTATCAGAGCAGGGCTATTATGATCTGAAGTCATATGAAGGTGCTGGTTGCCGTACTGTTGCTAAAGTAGGATTCTAGTTTGAACCTGCTCTTTAGTAATGGTTTACAAACCTGTCTTAAAATAATCAATGCTTCTGGCTGCAAGTGTTAAGTGAACTTCAGACTTCATTGTGGTTAATGATGGACGGTTAATGTTGGCTGGGATCAATATAGAGGAAGATAAATGTTTGAACACTGGAATAGCAAAGGTTTATGTCTCAAATCATCATCAGTTTCTAATTATAGGCTCCATTCTCTGCTGGTTCAGTAGCCATCCTTATCGAGATGCATCAAGCATACAAAAATCAGCAAAGTTCAATTGATGCTAAGGCTATGTTAGAATTTTAAGGTCCTTGTCCTTGACATTTGGGATCAGTCCCACTTGCATTTTACTGACCCATCTTCCTCACTTAGAGATTTTTTTCTAACATACTCTATATCCAATGATAGACACAGTAATGTTGAGTCTGTAGTTTGTTCCTGAGCCCTCCCTCTGTTAAAATTAAGCTTCTTTTGTCTTGTTGTTTAACAGTGCCTTCAACTTCTTCTAATAGGTATGTTTTCTTTAGATCTCTGGTAATTCATGTTGCTGCAACCCTTCAGTTGGTCCACAGCCTTCCTGAATGGCAGTTCCCAAAGCTGGACCTGGTATTCAAAATGAGATCTTGTGTGCTGAGCAGAGTAAGCCTGAATCTTGAATAAGTTTAGATATCCTACATGGCAACAGATTGGAAGCGTGCTCTTGAATGCTTTGTTCAAAGAGCACTTAACTACATGAAGTTAATTCTTTTAAATAGCTTCTAGTTTGGGACTAATTTACCTGGGGCCAGATAGTACAGCGACTATTGGAATATTCATGCCCTAGTTCTAGATGGCAGATCAACTCATGGGATGGTATAGAAGGGGGTGAACATGAAGAGCCTACTCTGCAAAACAGATCTGTATGCATTTAAGTACTTTATTTTAAAAGAAGCTGCTTAATAGATAGTGCTCTTCTAACTTCCTATGTTTGTCTTAGAATATGCAGAATCCACTTGCAAATCTGTAGCTTTAAAACACATGTTTCTTTTTAAAAACACTTGATAAGGGGACAATCACTTTAGACTTGTGGTAAAGTCTCTTATGCTTTTCAGTTTTTTTCAACATGCTCTAACAAATCTGTTTATTTGCATTGATGTCACTTTTTTTCTGAACTTCAGGACAACAGGATATATAGTCTTCTGGAGACCCTGTGGGCAGTCTCCTTAATTTAACAGTTTCTGTGAACTACAGGAGGCTAAGTGTTAGATTACAGTTTAGAATTTAGGAAGGCTTTCTTGGCCTGTACTTTGGGAGAAGATGGGCTAAATGCTTGTCTTGTTTAAATGTTTCTGTGGTATGTTTACTGATTCCATGACAGAGACCTGTTACTTTGCCATGCTACAATTTAGACTTGTATATTGGGTTTCTAGGAAGAATTCTTTAATGTGGAAGATTTTCTTATTTATTTATTTATTTTTGAGTTATCCTGGCAGGGTGTCCTCCAGTAGGTTTTGCCTTGTGAATCTGTCAAAATGTGAAGCCATTTGCCTTGTATTTCTGCGAGGGCTGCTGAACTGCCAAACGGGGACAGATCAATAAATGATCACAAGTAGAGAACTGGAAAGGGAAAATGGCAAATCCTCCAGAGAAAAGACAAACAATATCTGCATCCTGGAGGGGTGAAGAGAATTATCTGTGGAAAGTTGAGCTCCCTGTCATATCCTGAACACTGAGCTGATCTCTGGATCAGGTTACATGTGTCTTCTGTTGCTACTGTAAGAAAGATTAATCAACGTAATTGCCACAGTCTGATTATAAGCTGATTAATTAGCTCCAAAGTCAGGTTTTGCTTTCCTTTAGCAGGGATGAGAAAGGCTGAAAGTTAAATGTGTTCCCCACTTAGACTTTCAAGGGGGTATTTAAAAGGGAAAAAAATAATGCCAAGCAAAAAACAAAAAACCTGGAAAGAGGGGTTTCCAGTGAACAACTTGAAGGTTTTAGAGCCGTTGTCATTCTTCACTCATAGCATCCTGTATTCTTCTTTGCGCCCATTGAAAGCAAGGCAAGGGTGCTTAGAGCAGATCTGTGAAGCACCATCTCAAGAACACATCTGTTAGACTACTGTTTCCCCAGTAGTTACCTCAAGCTATGAACTCTGAAGAGTGGCTTTCAGACCCTGATTCCTGAACTACTCCTGTGCTTTCTTCCTCCTTGGTGCAGCAGGATTGGCTCTGAGGGAAGCTTGTGGCAGTATAGCATTACCGCTTGTTTGCTTTGGGAGGGTGGAGGAGGGAGAGAGGAAACTGCCTTAGATACAAAGTCACTGCAAAGGGCCTGTTCTCTGTCATCTGTCACAGCAGTTTGTGCTGCTTCCCAGGTAAGTGATTTGACTTGGCAAACTTCTAGTTGCATAGCAGAGGTCTTGGCAATGCCTAATGCAACACTGCCATTATGAAACAAGCTGACATCTTTATGTGTGAAGTAGCTTTGCATTTGACTACATGTCTGGTGTGGGGATGCAGTGGTTGCCTTCCTCTTCCATGTTAGTCTGTAGGAGAATAATCTCTCCTTATGGCTTTTTGAAAGGGTTGCTTGAAAAAGCCTGAAGACAATGTACTTCCTGAGAAGGTCACCTCTTCCTCCTTTGGGCATGATGTTCACATGCTACTGTGTGTTTCCTTGCAAACAGCTACCAGCATCATCTTTTGTATTGCCCTGTGAGTGGCTTGTTGGGATTATCTGACCTCTGCTAAAAGTGAGTGTGTTGATGAGCAGGGTTCTCATGTAGGTGCAGTCATGGCTTCTGATTGCACAGTTACAGTTAAATACTCCTTCAGATAAAGACTCTTCTTCCAAAAATCTGATGCTTAATTAAAGAACCACCTTTTAGCCACCATCTCCTTTTATGCAAACATCTGTGCCACTATCTGCTTTTCTAGAGAGACTTGTAGAAAACTTAGTAATCAAGAAGCCCTATTGCTCCTGAGGTGCATGTGGGGGGAGGCTAGAGTAAACTGCTTTTTTGTCCAATAACCAGAGAAATTCAATTATGTAGCTCATTGCCTTTACTGAGAGCTAAGAGTAAAGTGTGTGTATTCCTAACGTGAATTTTAATAGTAAACCAGATGCAGGGAGCAAATGTCTCGCCAAAACGGTTGAATATGAAAGACTGAATATCTTCAGAAACACTTTGGCATTGTGGGAGAGGAAGAAAGAACTTTGGCAAATGTGTTCCTCCCTGCAATTACAGATATCTTTGGAAGATGCACCTTCTATTTGGGATCAGTTTTGAATTCCAAGTAAAGCAGAATTCTCATACTTTGGTACTTAATAATTTAGTATTAGAAACTAAATGACTTGGAGCTGATTTCCTGATGCCTTTTGCGGTTCAGGGTAAATTATTTGGCTTGCTTATTTAGGCTGCTAAGCCCTACTTTTACTGATACAAGGCAGAGGACGAGCTCTTAAGACTCGGAATACATTCTTTTTCAGAGGAGTTTGTGAAGATAAAGTTTGAGTGTTCAAAAAAACAAACAAACACTGTTGGGTTATTCTCCCTGTTCTTGACCTCGGGTATAAAGAGAACTCTTCTGCATGGGTATATTTGCAATAGCTGTAACACTTGTTCCAGTGTTTTAACTGTGTCTAATTAATCTGCATTAGCCTTGAAGATGCTTGATAAGATTATTATATAAGCCACTCCTTTAATCTCAGGACCTGCTCTTCAGTCCAGCTGATGTACTTTTATAGGGTGGCTGTTGCAGCTGTTTTTAGTGAGCCAGTGTTGCTTATACATGGAAAATAGCTCTGTAATGCATGCTTGCTATTTGTTCAAATTCTTTGACCGTCCAATGATTCAGCATTTTTCCTTTATAATTTTTCATCAAGGTTTTCAGATCAATAGTCATTAAAGACAAATAAGATTATGAAAGGATGTTGAATCTAATCATGAAGCTTTTAGTGGTGTCTAGCTGTATGATAGGTATGCTGTTCAAGCAAAACTAAAATGCAGGTAGAATTTTCTAGCTTACAGGTTTCTTGTCCACTCTGCTACTGACCATGTGCTGCTGCATGACAGAGTTCATGTATGGGAATTTCAGTGTGTCTTTGCTAGCCATAAAATATTTTATGTAGACTGGTCTAGGTAAGCATGAATTGTAGCCTATACATGGTAATAGCACTTGTAATATTAAAGCAGAGAGATACTTTGAGTTCTTAACAATTGGAGAACCTTTCAATGCTTAATTAAAATAGCTTTTTAAAAAGTTCAATATTCCTTGATTTAATAAGAAAGGTTTTTATGGTAGAAGCAAGCTTGAAAAAAAGAAGATAAAATGCATTGCAGAGCCCTCTGCTTCTGTAGTTTTCCTTTTTCTTTAATGTTGGAGTGAATGAAAATTGTTGCTTCAGCCCTTTTACGTGCTGAGGGGGAAGTGCAGCTTTGGTAACAGATGCACAGGGTACCTCTGCTGTCAATAACTTCCTAGATGAGAAATGGTCACTCCTTTGGTTTTATAATCTAAACTGATTAGGTTATTGAGTCCTACAAAGTAAGTAGGTGAAAAGCATTTGCCAAAATTGGTAGTTGAGTATTGAATGCTACCAGCTTGGCATGCTTTATATTATTAATAATAATCTGAAGTTTAGATTTTATCTCACTACCATTACAGCCTCTGGCTATGTGCAAGTTTCTGGTTCTTCATTTCTTTTTACATGCATTTTAAAGAATTTATTTAAAGAAAGTGGACACCAAAGTGGATGGCAATATTATAGCTATTTCATAAATGGGTATGAAATTCATGTATACAAGTGGAGTTTCCGTACCTTGTCCTTAAATAGTGCTTGGAGTTCCAGCTGCAACTCATAGAGTCACCTGGAAAAACTCTTGCAGTAGGGTGTTACCAGACTTGAATAGTGAAAACATTTGAAAACTCTTATCACTGGGCTTACTTACTGTCTGCCCTTACTCTTATTGTGCTTTGCTTATTCTTAACATTTACTGAAGCAATTGTGTAATTTCATTGTACTGGCTCCAATTGTGTCTTCTCTCCTAGTACTGAAGCTTCTGTACCAAGAGTTAAAATGGATTAAAACACTAAATGGATATTCATAAAAATGAAAATGCTGTGTGTTGGCAGTTCCATAATCTTACATCCTGGAATCCTCTTGTCCCATGTGATAGCTCATGCTTTGTGCACATTTGGTCTCGGTTAATGGAGCCTGGCAGTAGCAGCGCTGATGCTTTCTGTGAGGGCAAGGCAGGATGCTTATAGAGTGTATTGCAACAGTGATCATAATTATCAGGAGTTTCACTGGGGATAACAATAAGCAGGACAGAGAGTTGAGAATGGCCCCTTAATAATTCTGGGTTCACTTGTATGTTTTTTTGTCTCAAAATGTCAAATACTAGCTGCATGAAGTATTCTATGAAGTGCTTGTTAAAGATGTTTTGCCTTTACTGTGTAGAGAGGATGGTAATATGGAAACAAGCTAGTTTATGTACATAATGCAAGCCTACCAGAGCATTTACTATTGCTTAGTAATTTTGCAGCAGATGGAGTATATGATGTGTTTTGCTTTATTTTTAAAATTAAACTTGCACCAGAGAACTTTAATATCTCAGGTACTGGGTTATGCAGATTATGCAATTTTATAAGAACAAAAAGGAGACAGAGCCTCAGATCAAGATAAAGCTGCTGGTTGTCAGCGTGTGGGTGTGGTGTGTTTGGCTGCCTTGAAAAATAAGCTATTTCCTATGGATTATGTTCCAGAGTTTTTTAATATTTCCTTTGGGACGCTTTTTTAAATTGGCCTTCCTGTAATGAACTTTGCAAGGCAAAGGAAAATTCAGTTAGACAGTAGATCTTTATCATCTTAATGTTTTCTTTACTTAGGTTTTCTCTTAACCAGTTGAATACTTTTGATTTGAATTTGTGTTCTTGTGTGCTATCGAACTTAGCACTTGTTGAATTTGCCTTTTTTTTAAAAAGGTGAGGACTTGTTAATAGAACGAGTGGCACATGCTGGCATGATCAACCCAGAAGATCGATGGAAGACACTACAATTTAATGGTCCTGTTGCACATTTTGAAGTACAAATAAGAGTGAAGTGTGATGAAAATTACTACAGTTCTCTGTGCAATAAATTTTGTGGCCCTCGAGATGACTTTGTTGGTCACTACACATGTGATCAAAACGGAAACAAAGCCTGCATGGAAGGTTGGATGGGAGAAGAATGTAAACAAGGTAATATTGTTTGCTTCATTTTAGATTAGCCCTAATGTGTATATATAATAGGTATAAAGTGCAGTAGACATTTCTGTAGTGTCAGTGCTGTAGCATATTAATTTCAACACATACAGACTTTACCCTTTGAATACAAATCTTTGCAAAAAAACATCCTCTGTGGAGAGTGGAGCCCAGGGGAGGGTACAGTGTTGCTTATAGTATGTGCTATGGAGGCTGTGTAACAAATTTAGGAATCGAAATAGTGAAATGTCTTTTTACTAATTGACTTTATTCAGTGGTGGTGTTACTTCAAAGCAAAATGATGTATTATGTCTGTTAAGGTAAGATTTTATTGAAAACTGATATCAGTAATACTGTAGACTTTAATCTGGTAAAAATGCACTTGTAATACTATTTTTGCAAGTGAAAGAGTTTTAAGTGTAATGTATGCAAAGCTGAAAGCTTTTTGATAGCTCTTAATGTGAACAGAAATGCAAGTGTAGTCATCTTTTTTAATGTACCACTCAATCAAATCTCTTTGCGTTTTGCCTTCAGTCTCAGTGAGTAATTAGTGCTAAAATTACTTGACATACTCTTCTTTTGAGGACTTCTTGTTTTTGTTTTCTGTTCCTTTTCAGTACAAGGCCTCTTAATGACAGGGTAGACCATTTTAAGGGCTTACTCAAGGTCATGTATCTTTTGAAGCTTGGGATTTCCAGCATAATACTAGTCTAATACCAGGTTTAAAAATTAACTGTATTTGATAAATGTTTCAGTACTGACACTCTTGCTGCAAACCTGTTTGGTAGCAACTTTTTCAATGAGTTATCTTAAGTTATTCTTTTCATAAACAGTTGTAATGGGCTTGTGTTTTGTGAAATAGCTAGCTGGAAGCAACAACTGTTGGAACATTACAAAAGACAGTCTACTTTGCAGAAGCAACAAATAGGCTAAATGACAGGAGCCCTAGCTGAATGGTTTTTTTTGCTGTACTAATGGATACCTAGCTGCCCAGAGTTGATGCCTAAATCTTTTTCTCTTTACAGCTGTATGTAAACAAGGATGTAATTTGCTCCATGGGGGTTGCAGTACACCTGGGGAATGCAAGTAAGTCTGCATGCTTGAGTATCTTTTTTTATGTGAGTATTGATCTTCCTAGTATTTTCCATGTATGTTGCTACTTTTTTAAAAGCCTATTTTAAAATGGAAAACAAAATAGAAAAAACATGGATGGAAATGGATCTGAAGGAGGTTTCATATGTGTAAGAACTGCCTGTACTTAATACTGTTTCGCAATCTTATTCTGTTTTTTGCACATATAGGACTGAGCAGATTTGCTTCATGTGATCCAAAACTATGCCTTTATCAAATGAGGATAGGGTTTTTTTTTCCTTTTCGAAATCCTTAGGAGCTTTGATCTCTGTGTACAATTTGTTCCCCTGAAATACAAAGGGGGACTTGCTCTTTGGACTGTTCCGACTAGGAAATGCTCACAGTCCTAGAATACTCAATAGATGTCTTTGATCACCAAAATGTAGTAAACCTAGCTTTTCCAAGAAAAAAAAAAAGGGGGGGGGGTGTTTTGGTCATAATGGAGGTACAGTAGCAACCCCAACCTAAACTTTCTATCCCAGGTGAATGTTTTCTGTTCCCTAAATATGAGAGAACAGAGTCTGAAATGTTCCCTTAACTTTGTGTTGAAGCCTGAATGGCCTCTGTGATAGCAAGAGGAGTTGATCATTTCCTTGGAAAGGTTCAGGCGTCCAGCGCAGTAGGTCAAGGGGAAATGGGTGTTATTTTTACACTGGCTGTTGAAGAGATGGGTCTACTTGTACGTTTGGGACCCTATGTAAGTTTTTGAGTTTATTTGTGGTCAGAGTTGTATGCATCAATGTAAGAGTGGATTTGTGCAGTCATTCCTTTGTAAGCGGTGTGGAATCTGCTTGCTTGGAATGATGTGAAACTGAACTGGCTGCCAGAACCCTTGAGAGCTGACAAATACCGTTTGTGGCAAGCTGTGATAGTTTAAGTAAATTCTGCTTCATCCTCCTGCTGTAGTTACTACTACAACCATCACAGAAGTGGCAGAAATAGGATGTGGGCCGCTTAGCTTTGCTGGGCTTGGAGCTGAGTTGGGGTTGAAGTACCGGTTTGTGAGCTGTGGCAGCTGACATGCAGACAAGTCCTATCCTGCTGGAGAGCCTGAAGTTTCTGACAGTGAGGTATGGCAGATACAAAATAAGCCTTAAATCACTACATCATGGAGTGGTTTCTCACTGCCCTGAGACTTCCGTTAGATGCTGCTGACTTGCAGAAGACTTGCTATGTTGTAGTGGTAAATTCCAGTATATGAAGTGCGGTGCTTCAGTGCATGTGCAGTTACGGTTCTGAAGAGCTATGAAGACTCCCTTAGATTTTTTTTTTTTTTCCAAGGCAGATGTTTAAACCATGGCTCTCTTTTTCTAAGAAAGGATACAATGTTATTTGGGATCTCTTAATATCGTTAAATATTTTGCTTGTGACTTTCAAGATTTGTGTGCCCCTACTGCTGTTGATAAATTTTTTAGGTTGCAAGTAGAGATTGTGGTTGAGAGCTGGGCCGGTATAATTTCTGCCTGAGTAAGAAGTACTCCTTCCCTTGAGCATTCCAAGAACACATTTTTCCCCATGAGAACCATGAATTTTGGTTCATGAAAGGATTTCTGGAGTCCTCTGGTTATCAGAGTGTCCTAGGAGCTTGTGAATGTTTTTCAAATGCAAGGAGCCACTGAATAAAGGTGAAAAAGCAACAGCCTTAAGCAAATGCAGAACAGTACCCTTTGGGGGGAGTGGGGTGCAGTTTTGTGAAGTCTTTCCTTACAGCATGTCACTGACATGAAGAAGTATCTAGTGTTGTAAGTCTAGCTGCCCCTTCTAACCTGCCCAGCTAAACAAAGCTCACAGAAATAACATTGGGTCTATTGAAGGACTCAGGCCAGAAATCTCACTGTTTTATTGGGTGGATTCTCTTATCTGAAAGACAGTATTGGGGGAAGGAATAAGGGACTTAATATTTCAGATGGATTGTATACCATCTGCCTTGTTTCTTAATGACTGTCTGTTGAAGTGCTAGATCTGTGATCAGCAGGTCGAAGAAAAACAATGGCCTTTCTGTGTATGGCCACTCTGTTTCTAGTATTTCAGAATGTTCTTGGCTACTTCTTTAAATGTGATTTGGTAGCTTGAGCTTGTTCACTCGGGTATCTTTAGCTTGTATTCTGTAGTAGGTGTTAAGCTGTATGAGAAATGTTGCTTTTAACCCAAATGGATAATACTTACTGTAGAAAACTGATGCTGAACTAAAAATAAGCAAGCCTTACAGGCATGACCTTTATCTTCAGCAGTACAAAGGAAGCTGTTATTTAAAAGAAATTGCTATGTTTGGTGCTATTGAATTATAATCTGGATTCCTTCATCCTGGTTTTTGGACAGTTGCCACTGTCATTTAACAGGTGAAAACAATGTCCTTTTTTTAATTCAGAAAGAAAATGAAAATGTGAGAAAAACATGGGTGTGAGATGTGTGGAAATCTACTGGTGCCAATAGCTAATTGGTTGCCAAAATCTGCAGTGGCATTTATAAATAGAAAAGTTGGAAAACGATTTCCATCTTCAACTTGATTGAACATGCAGGTAACTTAAGCAACGGCTCTGAGGCTTCAGCCTAACTCTCGTAGCAGGGATCTACCCTCCATGCTTTGATGTTCCACTGTAATTTAGAGCTGTTCTTAGATTAAATGTTATACCAAAAATAGATCTTAAAAGTAGCTAAATGACTGCAGACTGTTAATGAAGGATATGCCATTAGCTGTAACTGTACATCATCTGTTGGGCAAGTTCATCTACCCTTTGTTTTGAGGAAATTACGATGTTGTGAAGTTTGCCATTTATTTTGGTGAGTTTTTATCAAAGAAAGGGAAAGTAAGTAGGGGATGACCTGACGTCTCAATGACCCGATGTAGGAAATGATTTTGTGGTATGTCATGTCTGGGTCTAGGTGAAAGGTTTTTGTCATTGTGGAGGCAGTTCAACAAAAGTAAAAATTTACTGAATAATGAGCAAGTTTATATCCTTGTGGAAAGCAAAAGCAGCTTAGCTCAATCTTGCAAAGATGGGAAATTGGAATCTTCTTAAAAAAAAAACAACAAAACAAAAAAAACCCCAAAGACTTTTATCCATATCTAGGCTCAAAGTGTTTGGCTAATGTAATCTTGGTTTTTTCATCCTGCAGTGTCAGACCAAATGGTCTTGATTACTGAATTCACCAGCCCAAAGAAGTAGGAAGAATTGTCAAAGAAGCAACACTACCAAGCTGTGATGATTGTTGCTTTTTTGGATGGTTTTGTACCATTTGAAGTACTTTGTTAAATTCCATTAAACTGTCCAGAGAAGAATGAAGTTTGATCTAATGGCTTATAACTGGCTTAGGCTCAATCACCTTATGAAATTATGGAAGTTGAATATAGAGAAAGCACAAGTGACAGTCTCTTTCCTTGATTAAAACTGCTGATTTGAATATGTTTGGTACCGTTTATAAACTGTCCATAGGCTTAATGGCTTAATCTTTCACTTCCTTGTGATCCAGAGTGGTATAGGTTTGGCAGAAGCCCAGATATGCCTTGTATCTGGCCTACATTGTCATGTTCCTGCCAGGATTATGGTATTTACAGAAGTCTTTCTACTTTTCCTGTTGCTTTTGAATGTCTGAATTTATTTTCCAAAGCGAAACAAAAGGGGTCAAATCCCTAACACTGCTCAGCTTGTGTTCAGCTTCTGGAACTATGGTAGCCAGGTTATGTCCTGGGAGATACAAGTCTTGCTTCACACAACTGTGGTACAAAAATTTCTTTAGAATGCGTAGACTAGCTGAAATGAATTAGAAATGGGATCATTAACAGTACAGTGATTTTGTGCAAGGTGAACAAAGCAAGCATACAGTTTTTAAAACTTAAGTAAATTAGTTGTTTAATCAGTGTGCTTTGAACTGTCTTACTCTAGAATTACTTTTGACCTACATATGACAAAATTTCGGTTTTACAGTGTTCGTGACTTTTTTATTTAATCACATACCTTATGTTTTTCCTATTGAAACAGATTTCTCAAACTTCCTGTCCAGTGCCATGCCTTTTTGTAGTCCTGTATTCCGTTTCAGCCCTGCATGCAAGGCTGATTTCTTGTGTCCAGCAGTGCCTGCAGGTGCTGTATGCCTCTCCTGAATGGTTTTGCTCCCTTAATCTGTCACTATAAGGGCCAGAACCTGCTCGACTATTATTCAGTATTTGGTTTACAGAGATGCAGGAGCAAAAGCCTGAGTTGCAAAATGAGCTTCAACTACCTGGAGTGTTGGGGGTATAATAGTGTTCTATAGATCCTTTGTTAAATGTTAAAGGCTTGCATAGTCTTCCTATCCTTTTCGGTAGGAGGCCTACCACTATCACTAATCTCCTGCTTGTGTTTCCGTGACAGTTTAGTGGTTAACATGGTTAACATCAATGTTTGGTTACTCTGCCTGAACTTAAAAAAAAAGTGTCTGTGTTCTTGTAAACTCATTCTTGGGTACAAGGAGACTTGCTGAGGTATCTCAAAGCAGGTTGTTGTTAAAAGACTGTAGAGGACTAACAAAAGATCTTAGAGGACTGAAAAAAGAAGGAAATACAATACCTGCTTCTAAACATGGGGAGAAAGTAAGAGATGGGGAACTTCCATGCTAACTAGATCAGATAGAAATCTCAAAAGAACACTGAAGCAGGTATACCATTTCTAAACATCTAGAAAATGCTTATGGATGAGTTACTGGCTAACCAAGACTTGTCAAGAGCAGATCTAAATGATATAGCTTCCTTCCACAATTGTTCCAGAAGGGAATTGTAAGAAATCTCAAGATCACAAATGATGAGAAATCTCATAAACTGCTCTGAACAGTAAACTAGAAAGTCTTGTTGTATCAGTGTGATGGCTGCTGTGCATCAGTTCTTGCAACTATGGTCCCTAAAGAGTGTAGGGCTATTGTTTGGCCCTGCAGGAAGACACTTGGTACCATACCTGGACATCTTCTCCTGTCTCGTCTTT